AAAAAATTCTTTTTTAATTACCTAATGTGTCTGGCGCTGTGATAGACACTAGGGGTGCTATGAACAAATATCCATTTTAAGAAGCTCATCATGTAGTTAGGATGCTAAACCATGTAGAGAGATAACTGTGATACAATGGACCACATGACAAAGTGCAGAGAAATGCCACTAGAGTTTATAACGTTGTCTCTGGCTGAGAATTCATTCATTCAACAAATAATGAAATGCTACACATGCCGAGTACTGAACTAGAAACACACAGGTGGGCAGAACAAAACAGAAACCTCTGCTCTTTGAAGTTTGTATTCTAATGTATAATTAGGACCCTTTCTCTGACTCAGCTATTCAACATTACTGAGCAGTCTACTCTATTCCAGGCAGACACTGAGGACAGAAGGAAAAATGCAGATAAATGACACTGATCTCATGGACGAGGTCACATGTGAATTAAACTTGAAGGTCAAATGGAGCTGAGGAAAGTGGGGAGGACATTCTAGGGCTGAATGAAGTATCTCCAAGGGACAGCATAAGAACTAGGTAGAGCTTTCTGGAAAGGAAATAGTATAATATGGAGATATGGCCAAATTATATCAGGTAAAGTATCCAAGTGTATGTATTTTGCTTGATTTGTTTGTTTGTTTGATGATGAGGCAGGAGAGAAGAGTGACTGAGTAAAATATATGGAATGGACTAATGTGGGAAAATACCAAAACGCGTGGACTAGTTTGAAAATTGTTGGATTAGCCCTGGGTAATATATAATAAGAGCCTGTAAAATAAAATTTGACTTTATAAGATAGGATGAAATACAATAGTTGAAAGATAATCACAAGTTTATATAAGAACTCAGAATTGTCTGACAATTTAAATAATCAGTTATCATTGAATGTGTTATCTCCTCAGACATAGACAGAAAAATAGGGAGATATTCTTTTAATTTTTCTCTAATATTTTGTTTAAATTTATTAATTTTACAGGAGAACTAAGTTTCTTTATACATGATCCTAGATTAAGCAATATAACTACAAATAATTGTAAGACTCCATAGAAATATTCCTTCAGTCAATTTTGATAATATTTCCATGGGTGGGAAAAAAATAAATCTTAAAGAACTAAGGATGCTGCAATGGGAAAATAATAATTTTCCCCCCTTTTAAATTTTATTCCTGAATCTATTTAAATAGTTAAAGCTGGCACTGTGTATGTGACATTAAAGCATCTCGCATGGCGAATGAGTCAATGAAGCCAGGACCTGTGGGTCTTTTACATCATTTGTCACAAGGCCTCTCTAGAATATATACCTATTTATGATGTGTCCTGTTTAACAGCAAATCACAGAAGGAATCTGAATGAGGGCCCATGTTTTGGGCATGTAGGACGAGTGACACAGGAAAGAGAACGGTTCATCATGACACTGCCCATAGGAGTGCTACTTCAAACTCCCCACCTTAGCTTCAATCAGAAAAAAATCACAAGATTTAGTTGCACTTATGTCTCATTATCTGTGTGCTGCAGGTTGAGAATAATTGCTGAATAAATTAGCATCAGATCAGAGAGCATGAAATTAAGGACACAAATAAAGTGAGTTGCAACATGGTAAATTAAAAACAAGTTGAAGACTTCGTAGGTTGAACAGCAAGCGCTTCATTTATTAAGGGGAAATATAGTTTCAAGTCACATGGAACAAAAAAATAAGACAAAGAAATATTTTAAATATTTACATTTTGCTTTACATGTATGGGTAGCTTCATGGAGCAACATCAAACAGCATATGTGATTAGGAGATTGGAAATTTTAAATCTGTATTTCCAATCACAGGACTGGTTTTTCGACTATACTTTACAGAATTTAAATATGATCATTTGTTGCTAATGCATTTGCTTCTAAAAATAAAGATTTCAAGTGCATATAACATGGTATATGCCAAATTTAGTTGTCTTACTATGAGAAGTTCAGTTGTCTTATGCTGTCTCAGTCAGAACCCATGCACATAAAACAAGTTTTGTAATAAATTAGGGGCCTTAGGGGCCTATAAAAGTAGGTGAATAGTAGTTCTAATAATTTGGCAGTCTTGTCTACTAATATCTGATGCATTCACTTAAACAGATTAAAATAAATACTTATTCACCACTCTAATTACCTGCAGTTTTGTTCACAAATACATCTTTATTTAGTCTGCATAAAAATTTTATAAGATACTTATGATTTTTTTTCTTTTTGTGTGACACTGAGCCTCAAAGTGTTTAACTAAAGTGACCATGGATTGGTTTAGGTTTAGGTGTAATGGGTTTGCATAAATATTTAGGACATTATCTGTTTCTTCAGGAGTAGACTATTTTGGCTAGGGAGCTAAAAAATACATTCAAAGGAGACAAAATTAAATGAAAGAGTTGAATAAAAATTTTGGACAAATGAAGGAACATTACAGGCAGTTGCAAAAATCCTTATACAGCCACAGTGTTCACAAGAAGCAGTGATTATTTCAGGGTTAAGTGATGGTGGATTGTTTCGTGGAGGTGATGAAATTTGAATAGGGTTCCGAAGGAAATGAAAAAGTAGTGAGTACAAAGATTTAAATTTCAAAGAAAGAGGCAACGTAGGCAGGGCACAATATCAATTAAAATAGATTAGGAATGAAATGGCTATGGAGGAGTTCAGAGCACAGGAAGAGAGAGACATGGAAAAGCAATAATCATGCATTTATTAAGTAGCTACTCTGTGTCATGCTCATCCTAAACTCGACCTGTGTTAATTCATATCACCTTCACATCACTATGAAGTATTCTTACCCCACGTCATTGATGAGGAAAGTAAGGGTTTGAATGTATAACTAACTTACACAGTCACATAGTAGTGTATTGCAGAAGCAAAATAAAAATCGGTGGCTAGATCCATAGCTCACTTATCTGACTATTCTGTAGGGACTGTCTTCTGTGATAGTAACAGTGATCTGGCGCTGTTCTACACATTACAGCTTAACTCATTACAGGGTAGACTGGCTGCATACGGGGTTTTACATATACTCTGGGTCATAGGAAGTCATGGTCAGAGTTTATTTGAAGAAGTTAAATTTAGCAGTCATATTAAGGATTAAATGAAGACATGAAATTTATCAAAATATTTTACATACTTCTATTACTATGACTATCGTGAAGAACTATGCTTTCTAGTAGATACTACCCTGCCCACATAGGAAATCATTTCACTCCATCGCTGTTGTTGTAACTCTTGTTCCTACAGTATCCAGCCCCGTGTACTACCACTGATGTCCTTTCAAGGTCCTTCCCCTCAGATGGACTATAGTCATGTTCAAATTTTGATTTCTTTTTTTAAATTCTTTAAAAAAAATTCTGATTTCATTTTATTTTACCTGTAATAATCCCCCTCACATCATCTTATTTAGAATATTCCACCTCATTCATCATAGGGCATGATTTTTGTAAAATATTTTAATTTATTTTATTCCTTCAAAAATACATATTTTTTCTTTGTCCCTCATCTGCCTTATGTCCCTGGCTTCCATCATTTTTTAGGAACTTATTTGTTCTGATTAGACCTCAGAATGCCCTTTTTGCTCCAACAATCCTGTCTTCAGGTAGCCTTCAAGGAGGAAATAATGCGTGGGCATGTACTCAGCTGAGGGAAAGAAGCACATTTAAGTTTTAAAGAAACCCACATGTCTGCAAGTAATTTTATTCCTATGTTACCTTCCTCTATGGGCATTCTTGCTGGAGACGTGTATCTCTTTGAGACATCGAGAAAAACAATCTCCCAGCAATAGAGGCTGATTCAAAAGTTCTGCCAATCATCAACATGGTATGTTTAGCCACTATCTTCTCTAGGACTTGTGAGAGGCTCTGTGTTCTCATCTGTGACCTACTGCGAATGAATCATGATTTTGGAATTGAGTGGTAATAAACCAGGTGAATTTTTTTGTTTGTTTCTTTTGCTCCTTTTTATTGTAGAAAAGGTTGTGTTTTTATTGTTGCTGTTGTTTGTGTTTAGTTTTCCACATTTAAAATCAGAAGGGCATAAATGGATAGCCAATGAACTGAAATTACTTGGTAGGTTGAGAACAGTTATTGAATATTACATTGCTCCTACACATATTTGGCATATATAATTTAAAACTTGATTAATAGCAAATGGAATCTGAACCAATGCTTGGAAGAAAGTCTAAACAGTGTTCCTTGCCAAATGTTTCAGATGGTTTTACAAAGTAGTGTGTAAGATATGAGGGATAAAGGAAGGGACCAGAACACATAGGAACGGCCAAGGTAAAAACGGATTAAAAGAAAATAAAAGCCTCAGTTATGTGTTGCATAAATACCTTACAGGATGACTGAAAAATTATTTGAAATCCTTATACTGGGAAGCTCAACACATAACCGCATTTACAAGACACTAACAAGAATTTAAAAGAGGCGTGAAATTCTAGATATTTCTGAGTAAAAATAGGATTTGCTTAACAAAATAACTAGTCTCAAGGAACTTTTCCCATCTTCTGAGGCTGTCACTTTCCCTAGAACTATTGAAATATCTCAATGAAAAAGGTGAATAAAAGAAATACATCTGGCTATAAAGAATGGCTTAAAAGGTGGCGGGCACCTAAGGTGGCAGTAATCCTATTAAACGTTAAACTTCAATGCCTCAATCACAACTTTGAAGTTAATATTTCATTAGGGTAAAAAATGAAAGAGCCAGTACACTTTTACTGTTTCTTTTATCTGGGTACACTTTCTCTGGTGCTGAATTCATAGTAAGTGATTTAACACAAAGATTTAAAAAAAATAAATAGAAATTCAGGTTCATTGAAGATCAGCTTTGACAAGAGTCTGCTAAAACACGGGAAAATTATTATTAATATTAGAGAAATCATTAATGGAATTATTATGGCCAGTTTTCTCTATCTATATTCATTATGAAATTAATAATAACCTAATAGAAGAAATTCAGGTATTTATGATCACACACACATGCATAATTAGCCATTGTACTTACTTTTGGTCACAACACCTTCTAAGTGAATGATGTTAGGATGGTCAAACTGCCCCATGATACTTGCTTCACCCAGGAAATCTCTGCGTTGCTTTTCAGTATAGCCTACTTTAAGAGTTTTAATCGCCACAGGTAATTCTCTTTTTCCTGGAAGTTTCAAACGTCCACTGCAAACTTCACCAAATTCACCTTGTGATAAAGATGTTAAAAACACATAAACTCATCACGAACCTTTATTCTAATAACACTCTGAAGTTCTCTTAGAACACTAAGGTTTAGACAAAACAGAGTTAAAGGGGGGTCCAAACTTTCTTATCAGTGTTAGTAGAAATTAATGGTGCATTGGGAAAAATCATCTACAGGTGATCATAAAACACGTTGAGGGTTATTAGTTTCATCCATGTCACCTATGGAAATCTTAACGGAAACATCAGAAAGAAATTAAAAGCAACTGAAAACCACTTACTACCTTTTCTTTCTACTCTAGCAGTGACATTGAGAAGAGAAAAAAAAAAGTACAGAAAGAAAACAGTCTTAAGGGAAGAGATGATTCATAAATAGAACTGGGAGCTTGAATTTCGTAAATACTTTTGGGCAATACAAATTATAAATGTATATATGAAATATAATAAACAATAGATGTGAAACACTATGTTTGAATATACATTTTTTTGGGTTTATTACTTCATAAACCAGACATTTGCTGGTTTAAGTATGAGCTACACAGAAGGTAGCATTAAAATATGATCAATTATATAACGCTTTGAAAGCAAGTCAGTTACAAAAGATTAAAAATATTCTGCATTAGGTTAGGACACTGACACATTATGTTCTATAATCTAAACTCAGGTTAAAAGTTGGAGTTAAACACACTGTCCTACCTGCTCCAATGACTCTTTCAATGGTGATGCATGAAGCTTCTATCTCCTTGGCAAATTCATGAACAGCTTGGTTGGGATCCTCATAGGTATGTGGATCAATATAAGTTCTTACTCCTGGCAGTTTAACTGTAAAAGTAAGTGGGCATTAAAATAGAAGTGCTTGTGATGGATGAGTGAAATTATAAACGTTTATTAATGCGCAACTGTGGCCTAAATCCCTAATTCCTAGAAGTGGTAGAGCTGCAAGGACAGACCCTCTTCTGAGTTACAGGAGTCATTTGTCCAGCTATCTCACTTTTATAATGTTAGAAATCTGGATTGTTGGCATGCACAAGAAGTGCATATGGGCCGACATATTTGAGTAAATACATCTTTCAACAATTATGTTCAAGGAGTCAGTCTCTGAGACAAACTAAGACAATTTTGTTTATTAAACTGGGCAATGAAATGATATTCATTCATATAGTTACTGGTTTGTTTCCCATGTTTTACTTAAAATATCACAGATGATTAATTTAGGTTTTACAAAAAATAGTCTTTTTAATCTTTGTTTGGTTTTTTTGGAAGGGTAGGTAATTACGTTTATTTATTTATTTAATGGACATACGGGGGATTGAACCCAGGACTTCATGCATGCTAAGCATGCATTCCACCACTGAGCTATATCCTACAACCCTTACAAAAAATAATTTGAAGTAACTTTTCTAGTGCTTTGTTCCTGTAAGACTGACATAGAACTCGAAAGGAAAGGAAAAGTTCTCTCTTCCTGTTGCTTCAGGGCCTTATACAAGACTCTTAGGTTCTATGAGCTTCAGTTTCATCACATTTTAAAGGCAACCGGTATTACCCTCACAGCATTTTTTGAGGATAAATAACATTAAATAAGATAGGGCTATGAAAATGAACTAAAAAATTCACTGCCACGTGAATTATGGCTTTAATGATTTTGACTTTCATGGTCATGGCAAAGTGACAAAAAAAAAAACCTCTTTCTGTCATTTACTTGGCAAATCAACTCACACCATACTATTTATGAAAAAATGAACATGTTGAAATACCATTAATTAGAACCCATTTAAGCTAGTTTTTAAAGCTCATTATTAAAATTGATATTCTGCATTTCTTAAAAGTGTAGGTTTTTTTCAAGTCATTTGAACCAAGGTTGCTGCTACAGGATCTGCTCAGGGAAATTTCTGCCAAATGCTAGAAAAAGAAGAAACAATTGATTCACTTAATCTGGTGGTATTATTTAATGATATATTTCTACTGACTGTTGCTAAGAATTAGAACTGGTCTGGAAATTTGGTTTGAAATATTATAGCTTTTTATATTAAGCAAAAAGGTTTTATTTTAATGATTATAATGAAAGTATGCTTTTAAGAAGTGAACAAACCATCCAATCATTGCCTAGGGTCAGTTGGCAATGCCCCAAGCCCATGTGCTTTAGAGAAATATAAAAAAACATATTTTTGAACACAATATTTTCGGTCAGTTATTATAAATTTCTTGTCTGAAAAGAAGCAAAACAACAATAAAGTCTCCCCTACTTGGTTTTAGTTTGATTTTTTACAGTTTGCTTACTGTGCCCATTATGAAAATGCATCTTTTCCTCTTCTGGATCTTGTTTTGCTTTGCTGTAACCACACCGCCTGGAACAGAGTAAGCTACAATTAGCCACAGCTCCAAGCGGTGAAGCACATGGAGCCCAGAAGCACGTAACACAACTGAAATGATGGCAGCCTTAAGTGATTTTCACACCAGTTGGATGAAATAACACCAGTACTCTTTTGGATGAATCCTATTTCCTCAGCCAGTATCCCTTACTCTTGCCCAGATTTCACTGAGAAGTCTGCAGCTATCCAACCCTATTTTTAAACTTTTCTTCCCCATAGACCACACAGACATTACTCTGTTCCCTTCCTCTTGGTCTTTTTTTTTGTCACCTCAGAGGCCTCTGCCTTTTTTCAGGATGAACTGCCCCAATTAGGTCCCTGATTCAATAGTCTACTCCTTTCAGCCTGTCACGCTATCATTTCATTTTATTTTTCTTCTCTTGTTTTGGAGTCTTTAGTTTCTCCACTGGCTGTTTCCCACTCACATCCGCTCGGAGATCACTATCAAGTTCACCAAGACCTGCCACCCTCTTGCTCCACTCTCCAAATCTTCATCTCTCCTGTCTTCTTCAACTACTTCCTAATGTGCAAGTCCTTTTTACCTGCTCTTAATGATTTATAAACATCTGCCCCTCTAATATTCACTGATGACATACTCATTGCTAAATCCAATGACTTCCTGATTTTTAATCATTCACGAGGGACTGAAGTCCGTAACTACTTTCTGATGCTTCTTACTCCTCTTTTCATTTCTGTGAATGTTTTCATAGGTCCTCTGTACAAACTTCTCTGGTTCTCTCCTGTCAATCTATCCATTTCTATCAATTTAATTAATACCTCTGTCCTCTTGGTTTAATTCTTTTGAGAGTTATATTCTTATTCTTAATAGATTTACTTTATAGGGATATTCACTGGCATTCAGACTCAATAGATCTGAAAAAGAAAACAGTATCTTCCTTTTTACTTTCAATCTTGATCTGCTGCCTTCTTTTCCGTTAATAACACTTCCGTGGCTTTGGTACCTTAAGATCAAAGCCTACTCTTGTGTATCTCACAACAAATTAGTTGCCAAAGCACAAGCATTATATAACATAAATGTCTTTTGATCCATCTCTTTCATTTCATTGGCTCTACTTTTTCAATTAAGACTTCGCTATTTTTCATTTGGATTACTATCAGTGCCTCAAACGATGCCTCTGCATTCTGTAACTGCTTTCCTAAACTCTACTAGATGTGGCTGTTGCCAAATTACCATAAATTAGGTATTTTTATTGTGTTAGCACTTTCCTGCAAAATCTTCAATAAAATTAGAAGGTAAAGTTTCCTAAATGTGGCCCTAATGCACATTTTCTACATCATCTCTAAGGCAGTTCTCTGTGCTTCCATACCTTCGCATACACTGGTTCCTGACCTAGGATGCTCTTCCTAATAATTTCCAATGATCAAAGTCCAGCTCAATTTTTGCTTTCTTCACTTTTTTTCCCCCTAATACCCCAGCTTAATGCAATCTTCCCCTCTTTGGACCCAGTAGCTTTCTGTATCCCTCTCATGGAGTGATTCTCATCCTACAAAGCAACATAGTCATTTGAGAATGCCTTTTGGCTCTCTTACTATTATTGCCAGTTTCCTGAATGGCAGCAATTAGCATTCATCTATAAATGTCTGAAGTGACCTAGCGCCTGCCTCAGGGTTGGCACCAAAAATATTTGTCACATTGATGAATGAATAAATGAATGAGTGAATGATATTTTGATTGAGTCTACACAATGACAAGTGTTTCGAGGGGGAATACACTGATGAATACTAAAGCACATGATTAACTGTATAACATTAACACAACACTAAAATAAAAATATTTAAATTTATAGTGAAACTCTAAGGAAGTGAATTTATTCTTCACAAACTCTTATAACAAAATTGAGTTTATTAAAAACAAAATTCCATTTATTTCTGCATAAAGAAAATACAGCCAAAATGTCAGAGGACTGCTCCTTGGTTTAATATTGTAGAGTGTTTCTTAACTATGTGTATATTTTGATATAAAAATGAAACTTATTTTATTCTCTATCTTTCCTACTGTATAATTACATATATAATACAAAACAGATAAATAACTCTTCCTTGTGCAATTAAAAAAATATATCATTATCTTAATTGCATCATGTTAAAGAACTGACAATTTATTAGTAAAGTACAACTAGTAAAACTTGAGTAAACTTGAAGTAATATACTTAATACATACAGCGTTTTGTGGTGAGGAAATTACACAATGGGGATCTGGTGGCTTTTCAAATTTTATCCATAACACATACATGCCTTTGTCATTTATGAGCCCTTAAGACATCTTGAATCACCTCACCACAGTGAAATGGAAAGAAAAAACAAATTCATAAAATGATACTGAAATAATAGTTGGTCTATTCAAGCTGACACTTCAGTTATTTTAATATATTGCTCATATTTTTTCAGGTGTTACATTATTCTTTCAATCTTTAATGTATGTGCCTCTAGAGAAAAGTTATTGATATTTTTTAAACCAATGTTCTAAATACAATTGTGTGAAATCATCCTGAGACTGATGTTATTTAAATAATACTGTCGAAAAATTTTGTTAGAGGAATTCTAAAGAGACATAAAAAGTATACACGTTCTTGCAGTTTACATTAGAAAACAAACATCCATTCCGCCTTCAACTCTCCTACCTTCAAAAAAAAATTAAGCTTTCCAACTTTTATCCTCAGTCTTTATCATTAAATAAGCCTCATGGATATTTAAATTGCATGCAAATTCCTCATATGAAAATGGAAATAAACTTTGGTTCTCATCTAAAAAATGATTTGGGAACACCTTGGTGAGGAGCGATTAACATTTTAATACCCACGGTGAGAGTCAGGAGGGCAATAGAAAGGAGTTATTTTTGACTACGGGCATCTCTAGAGTTCAATAACATATACGGCTGCATGTCATATTAACATCTAAAATTAAGTTCTGGAAGCCCCCCAAGCATCATTAAAACAAGCCTTAACAAGATACAGCAGGTAAAAGTGCAGCTGGCAGAGACTGGCTCTCAAGCGGTGGTTCAGCCTCGCTAACAAAGCATTGTAGGAAGCCTGTTCATTCAGTACCATCTTCTGTACCTTGTCCAGTTGCATAATTTTAACCCATCAGACACAGTCATTAAATAAGCCATTTTGTACAGAAATTAAGACTCCCATCTTCTGGAACTGATTTCTTTCTGAACAAAAAGAACCCAGCTTCTTCATTTTGCTTCATATCATAATTTTAATGAGTTTTGATGTCATTGTACTAAAAATATCTGTACTGTAATTAGAGGAATCATCTTCTAGTCATTCCAGAAAACAGTGTTATTTTATTTTTTAGTAGTCGAGGTAGGTATGAGAAGTCATATTAAATGTAGGCATAATTCATATTCATGAATGATAGTTATTAAAAGGTACAATAGTGATGCTTCCTATATAATATATAAGCGATTTCATGGGAAATTTAGAAATCAATCTATTTTCTCTCATTTCCAGCCTAAGGATTTGTGTAACATAACCTTGCTAATATTAATGCTGATTTTAAAAACTTGGTCCAAGCCATAACATCTAAATTTGGATATTTAAAATTTCCATAATACATGAAATAGTAAACAGTAATCTTTATGAGTGGATGGATGTGCAATGAGTAATTTAGTTCTCAGATATAAATTAAGTATTTGATAATAAGTTAGAGGTATGAGTGTCAAACCCTCCACAGTACCAAGTGAAGCACAGAATCAGAAATTTACTAAATGGCACCGTTATGACCAATGAGGAAAGACGAGTAAATGGAAGCCAGAGGAGATTGTAGATCCTTGATCTGCAATAGTCTCCACAGAATCTGGTTTTTCTATTGCTTTAGCCTACAGAAATAAACACTGAATCAACACTTTCCCCTCTTAATTCTAAATAAGGTGGGCAGAGGTGCAATGGTCAAAGAAGGAAAGAATTTGCATTGTGATATTTTTGAAAGAGTGAGCATATGCAATACGTGGCTCAGAAATGGACACACCCTATACAGATCCTATGTTTTCCAGATGAATTAAGAAATGCTTTACCTATATTTTAAAGCAAAAATATTCAAAAGGAAACGCTGCAGCAAACATGAGAGTCGATGTGTTTTGCTTATGGAAAAGAAAGGCTCCTTGTAATTTTAGCCTCTTTTAAAAACACATTTCTCCACCCATGCACTCCCTTGTTCTGACATAATAATGACCTCTACTACCGCATAATGCTGTATTTAGCAATTTTATTGCTGGAATCTTGAAAAGAATGTTACAATTTTGGGGGGAAATAGTTTGACTTTTTCACTTCAAGGTTCTCTCAAACTGAACAAAAGTAGTTTTAATAAAAGCTCAGCTAACTCAGCCTCATAAAAATAGGGAAGCATAAGAACATTAGCTTATTAATATAGCTAATAAATACTGGAAAATATTACATTTTATTTTACAGGACCACATTCTTCAATAACAATGTGGGTGCAAATGCAGTAAAATAGGACTTTGGATATATAGGCTGTCTTGCTAGCATCTGTATACTGGGGTACTGAATTTTGATTCCTTATTGATAGATGTAAGTTACACAGAACAATGTGACTGATTTATTATTGTTTACTGAAAATTCTCAAGTATACTTCTTGAAGAAAATGTACTCAGTTAGAAAACATGCTTGCCTTGGATCTGGGAATGGAGTGATGGTAACACCACATAAAGTGAGGGCAGAGCTTGCTATGGTCCCGTCTCACATTCTGCCAAGGATACTAACCACCCTATGATTAATGGCAATGTGAGAAGCTAACATTTCTTATTTTATGCCTTATATATCATTTTTATTTCCATATTCTGAAAGACAAAGAAAGAATAGAAAAGAACACTTCCAACACAGTGTAGTGCAAATGAATTTGTAGATTTTTCATAGATAAACTCTTCAAATCCTTTTAGACTTAACCATAACGGGAAGACACAAATAATTGGAAATACTTCAAAAAACTCAAAGATGAATTACAGATTTTTCATTATTGAGCTAAATTTTAATTACCTTAGAATTTTGATATAAAAATGCGTTTCATCAGATATGATATGTAAGAATCGTTATCTCCCTGTTTTCAACAAGTTTTGTTCTAATGCTAGAGTAGGAAATTTCTTACTCATTTTTAAACTGTTTCATGGATGTGACCATTAGATTTCTCAATTACAGTAGTCCCACTTAGTATCTCCTATGGTCTGAGGTTCTACAGGTATTACTAAATGAGATTTTAGAGTAGTTCATAGTTATATTTTACATAACAAGCTTTAAATTGGAATTTAATATATTCTCACTCTATATTGCAGGCAAACCTCACATCTGCCTGCCACAAGCACTTTAAATGGGGGTCTAGAATTATAAGGGATGATTTTATTCTGTCTTTTCCCTAAATTTATAAAATGGAATAGTACTTCCATACACCTCCCTGGCAGAAACCTGATGAAGACAGATGAAATAATCTGTTAAATGTATGTAAAAATAAAACTTTGCTTACTTCAAATTTCAAGAAGTTTTCAGCTAATTAAGATAAAGAAAAATAGTTCATTGAAAAATTGAGGTAATAGTTAATGTTTCAATGTAATTCATAATCCTTTTGGTCAGAGAAATATGTTTTGCTTTGTTTTTATTCTATTTTCTGAATTATGAGAGAAGTTAGCTTATCCTTTATGTTTCTGATTAAAAATATTTTTAAGAATAAAATATAATAATTTCTAAAAAAAGAGGTTGACTTCCTAAAAATCATAGAGTAGATAAATGACCAAAGTAAGAATTTAATAATATCTCTATTTCATAAAAGTAAACTCCATTTCCATGGCTGCTTGAACCCCTAAGAAGAAGTAGTAAGTGATATGAAAACACTGGAAAGCTTGAAAACTAATGAACAAAGAAAACAGTCTGACATATGTTTGTAAGAAATGCAAGAAAAAGCTACTTTGGAACTATGGGATGTTTCGGAAGAACATGTAATAAACATTATGTTGTAAATATATATTGATTT